AGATAGGGTAGCAGTTTTCAACCAGTGGGCCACAGAGTGTTTAAAACACGCAAAACCTGACTCTTCAGTCAGGGACGCTGACCTCTTTTCCCTCAGACTGTCAAATAAAAAATGACAAAACCAACACAACAATAGCTGTCTGATGTGAATGAATCAAATATCTACCAATCTCTCTGGTCATATTGGCTGAAAGTATAACACATTTTCTGGCATGCTGCAGAACTTTAGTAGTCTATGTGTGCCACAAGATGAAAAAGGTTGAAAATCACTGATATATGAGATGGAACCTCCATTCAACAGCTGTATTGACCAGGTCACTGCATTTTTAAAGGCAGCTCTGGTCCTTAGCCATGCCCACCCTTCTGGTGTGACCAAACTGTCATGTCAGCTGATGGGCTAGTTGTTAAAGTGTGTATTTTTGCCAAACCATCTGCTTCCTGGTTTCCTGGAGGTGTAGATGCCTCCTGGGCAGGCATATGGGAGACAAAATCATGCTCTCGTGACCCCACATCTTGTCTCCATAAAGGTGTGTTTATAATTGTCCACCCCTCCATTTCCATTGTCCAAACCATAAAGTTACTCACTTTAAAATGGCTCACCTGTTAGTATACAGGATCAGTGGTCAAGGTCATGTGTGATTTCCACCCAGACAGCTCCTGATTCAGCCCATTGTTCCTGTTCCCACCCAGGTAGCATTGGGGGATGGTTGGATGGCAGCCTCTCTCCAGGTAGATGGGTTATGCTGGCTAGAGCCATAGTCCACCAAGCTCCAGCTGGAACTTCCCATAGTCCTTCTTTGCAGACTGAGGGATAGGAGTAGGGGCACTTGGAGGATCTGTACCTTCAACAGGGCCTAATCATCTCTAAAGAAAGAGGACCCTTGGGCAGAGTGCTGTTTAGTGAGTGTAGGAGTCTGAGCTGGGGAGAGGCACATCGGTGGAACATGTCTGTTTACTCCGTGATGGGAAGGGAGGTTCTTATGGTAACTGGTTGCTCTTTGGTAAGAGGTTCCAACTGTAGGAGCAGTGCATTCATTGTCAATGTTTGCTGTCCTATTGGGGTGTATCTGATATCTGCTTCCTTCTAGTATTGGGGCCAAGACCCAAGGGGCATTCTTTCCTTTTGTTTTTGCCAGAATGCCCAGCCGGTGCCTTTCAGAGTTACTGAGACATCTAACTCAGGTGGCAACCAAGCCTGGAAGACTCCAAGAACTTGAGTCTGTTTCACCAGCACTTTTACCTTCTCAAAGGCGGCCTGTTGTTTAGCCCCCTAGTCCCACATATGTCCTTGACTAGGTGACACAGTGGGTGAGGGCATTGAGCTAGGTGGAGTATAAATGCTTATCTGTACCCCACAATTCTCACAAAACCCTGTACCTCTTTCACTTTTTTTTTTTTTTTTTTGCATCAGTTAGGCTAGTACTTTGGCTGTGACAGCCTCGGAGACAATGTGGGTCTTACCGAACCAAGAGACTTCAAAGGACTTGATGGTGGTGCCTGGACCTGGAATTTTCCGTGTATTCACTTATCTATCCTCTCTGTTGTAAGTGGTTCAGTAAAGCCTGCAAGGTTTTCTGTAGCAGAAGTAAATCTTCACAGATTGACATTATATCATCAAAATAATAAGCCCATTTCACAGAGATCAGGAAGGAAAACAATGCCAAGTTCAAAGCCACCATCCATGGCATATGGTATGGCTAAGTAAATACATTAAGGGAACACTTCGAAGGTATGCTCCAAGTGGGAAACATTTCCCAACAATTTGTCACTGTGGGGCCATCAGCCCCACAGCGGGGAGGGCTGCAAACTCTCCAGAAGATATACATACAAGAACACAATGGACAACCCACACTGAGTGGCAGCTGAATGAAGTCCGGCTTAAATGCACTAAGTGAATGAAGGAATCTGAGTACTGAGATGGGGTTTTCCCGGGAGCCTGTAGGAGCCAAGTGGCTGTCTTGGGTTTCCCATAGCCCCGACTATTTGTTTCATTGACAACCATTGTTTACCTATTTTAATTTCCCTGATCAAGGAGCAGAGTACTGTCACATTACAAGGACATCAGGATGGCAAAAATCTGGCAGTGGTGGGGTCAATTTTGCAGAAGGAGGATGGACTTGACTTCATCCACAGGTGCCAAAGTCTCTGCAGATTTGGTTGCTGCTGCCCTTTGATGAAAGTCAGCTCGGGTATCTCAAAGGCAGAAGGTTAGCTTTTACTGTTGAGAAGATTCACTTTTCTTTAGTAATCAAAGACCGGATTTATAGTATTTAAGTCCACTTAGTTAAATCCATTTTAATCTTAGCCAGACTGTGCATTACATTTTTTTTCTGTGAAGATTTCTTTTCATAAACCTTCTATAATTATTGCTAAAGCTTTCACCTAAAATCATTTTATTCTACTTGAATCTATCTGTCAGTTCTTAACATTTACATTTAGGTTACCCACAAAACTTCTTGAGACGTTAAACAAAATCAGCCTTCATTCTAAGTTATTATTTTGCCGATCAATTTATAAGCTTGTGTAAAGACATGTCTGTTTTAATTAAACCAACAAACTTAAACTAGTTTTAATACCAGATATTTTCCTAAATCTCTCGATCCTATAAAGCATTTGGATTGGTTTCTATATTCCTGAAAATTTCAGAATACCCATTCCTCAATTTATATAAGTGCTTAATTTCTGTAAGCCGATAAAATGTAGCTCTTTTACCAGTTCCCCCTGCAGATGTTCCCCCTAACCGCCCCCCCCACCCCCCCACAAAGCTAATTTCTTTGGTTTCCTGGCTGGATTACCAATTGTTCATATACACAGACCCCGGGAAAGCTCCAAGAATAAATAGCTACCTACACAAGTGGAGGGCAGGAAAAGACCAAAGAAATAGGCTGGCCACTCTAGTCTGGCAATTAATAGAGTTTATTGAGGGAAACTTACATAGGAGATATGTCCTGGGCAACTGCAAGACAAAATAGATTCCTGCACCCACCTGGCAGTTGCCAAAGAATTATATAGGGTAAAAAGGGGTGGGGGTGAGGGGATAGTCACAGTACTAGTACGTGAATGCTACCAAGGGTGGGAAATAATGAGCTTGACCAGGTCAGGGCAACAGCCTGTTCCGGGGCCAAGCATGCAGTGCGAGGCAGGGGAAGGGGTGCTGATTTATGTCAGAATGAACACTGGTTATGATCAGTCTCTAAGTGGGGTTTGCACTGAGCAATCTCCTGCTTCTGTCCTGGGTCCAGTTTGGGGGTCCAATGGCGGTCATGTTATAGAATAGTCTCTCTTCTATTTTTTACATTTAGAAAACAGACAGTGATAAAATACACAAATGTACTCAGCACATATTTTGTGTCATGTGTTGTGCCTGTCACTTAGGGCAATCCATCTGGTAGCCCAAAGGCACAGCTCGTGTGCTCTCATTGGTAAGCATGCTACCGAAGGTCCGCCAAGCCAGGAACTATGCGGAGTTGGGCTGCAAACCCTGTCGTCCGATTTCAGCTAGTGTTGACTCTTCATAGGGATTGTGTATATTAAATTAGAAGTGTGCGTAGACTAAATTGGCTCATTGAGTTCATTTGCTTTCCTCTGATTTAGCTTTCATTTTTAACTGATTTATGATAGTGGCATGTAGGGCAGTGGCCATCTTCAGGGGGGTGAGAAGTGACCAGGGTGGTGGGAAGTGACCAGTGCAGGAGGTGAGATTAGCAGCCTTGACTGGAGAATTATTACAGGTTAGCAAACAGCCCCCCACTCAGTAGTTCCAACTCTAACAGAGCCCAGCACAATTAGGACATTTGTTAAGACTGACCTTCATTATCAAGGAAAATTTTAATTCTGTTCAGTGAGTTCTACTTATGAAGGCAAAGGAGTGCTTTATTTTAAGATTTTCATTTACACTTATTTAACCATTAAAACAGAGGCAGAATTACATATTTGGAAATGTCTGCAACTAGTCTTGTGTGTTCTACACTGCATTGCCCTGGTTGAGGTTAATTGTTAGGAGTGAGTGAGTAGTATGTGCAGTTGTCTAGATGAACCAGAAACTTAAAGAAAGGTGCGAAGAAATAATATATCTGTTTAAAGCCACATGCATGGAAATAGAAGATCTCTATTATGGAGCCATATATAATCCATTTGGGTTTTTTTGCATTTAATTGTATGTGGAAATGAGAACTTATTTCTGTCTTTGAAGTATAAGTGGGAACCAAATAAATGTGTGTTAGGTTTTAAAAAACATATATATATATACACACATATATACATATATATGTATATATATTCTCTAAAGGTTTTTTTTTCCTTTATATTTGAGAAAGGATTGTGTCAAGGTTTTTTTTTTTTGACTACCAATGTGCAATGAACTATACTGTCATTTAGTATAAAAGCAGGCAAGTAGTTAACTGAGTTTACCTGTACTATGAGATTGAAAAATCACAAAGATGCATCTAAAGGTGTATTGAAGTTGAGAATGTGAGAAATATTTTTAATGGCTTTTTTCTCCGTTTTTTTATGAAATTAGAAAAGGACTTGTCAAAACTGTAATGTGCAACACTGAACAGTCATTTTAAGCACGGAAGTGACTGTTTATGTGCATATGCCTGAGGGCATGTATTCACTTCCTACTGAGAGGAAGCACATACTCTTTAATGTTTCTGGAACGAGGTTTTCAGCATAGAGAAGATGTTTAGAATTTTGTTCCGAATGATTTATTCCTCACTTAACATGAGACAGCAGTAGGGAAGCCTCTAGCTTTGAAACAATGGAACTATTGAGTGGCCTACGCATGTGATATGTTGTGCAGATGAAAGATAAGAGGGTGAGGAATAGAAAAAAAATACTCCTTTCCTGCATATTTAGTGGGTATCTTGAAAATAGTCGGCCTGTATCATTTTCTCGTGCTTTCCCTTTCCACATGTTGATTCGCTGTACTGATGTGGCAGCTGGTGGGGAAAGCCGTCTGTATGACAGCTTTGCCTTCGGACTCCACTCCCTGTGTTGCAGGTGGGCCAGCCATGCGAGGGTACCTCTTGGCCATCTTCCTGAGTGCTGTCTTCCTCTACTATGTGCTGTACTGTGTATTGTGGAGAACAGATGTCTATGGGTAAGTTTCATTTTTGCTATTTGAAAATGATGTCCAAACTAGTCTTTCACACAGACACACAAATAATAGTAGAGGGACCCATTAAAGAGCCCTGTAACATTTTGAAACTTTTCTGGCTTCCCATTGTAAACAAAGGTCGCACCATTCTATTGCACTGTACATTTTATCTCTAACAGTTTAAAAACTGATAAGCGACACCTTTTTATTGACTTTCCAGGGAAGCGGTGGTATTGATCATCTTTGGAATATAACATTCTTTATTGTATGTCCTTGAATTGATGGAGTAATTCTTGGACTCAATGGTACTTGAGCCTAAAATGCTTGGATAAGAGAGATTGTTTGATAACATGTAGATATTAAATATCTTGAAACAAAGGAAACTTTAAACAAAGTTTCCTTTGTTTAAAAATATTGGCTGGATGATGATATATGTAAACTTTGGAACAACTTCAACTTGAAATGTCATATATAAAACTTTGAGGGGGTAAAGGTAGTTTTATTGCTGAGAAAAGTTCTCTAATAAGATTTTTACCCTTTTCCCCATTGTCAGCCCTTTGTCTAGGAACAAAGTTTTGATGACCTTTAAACCTGAATGGGTGGTTGTATATGATTATATCAAAATAAATCACAGGACAACTTTCTTGTTCTAGATGAAGTTTAGCTCTTTTGCCTGTGTTTCAGTAGTTTATCCCAGATCATGTTTCTAGTTTGTGCTTCCAAGATAAAAATATAAATAAATACTTCTGCATTTAATATCATCACTGGTTGACTGAAAATAATTGAAATACTCTTTCTGGAAGGAAGTTAGCAAAAGGTCACTGGAAAACACCCAGTGCCGGGTGGGTGGGTTTCACCATAACTTTTAGGTATTGGATTTAAATATTGAGCTAGAGAACTTAGTCTGATTATACAGTACATAAAAAATATACCACAGGAATCTCCCACACTTGGTAATGGAAGACGAGAACAACAGAAAAAGAAGCTACTTCCCATTTAATGCCATTCTTGATCAGAGGAGAAATGATAAAGACAATGGAAAAGGTCTGAGTTCAGCCGTGTTTTTTTTTTTAAATTGGTTGATTTTGAGAGGGAAGGAGGGAGGGAAGAGAGAGAGACATAGATTTATTGCTCCACTTATTTATGCACTCATTGGTTGCTTCTTGTATGTGCCCTGACCAGAGATTAAACCTGCAACCTTGGCATACCAGGACAAGCTCAAATCAACTGAGCAACCTGGCTAAGGCCACCACAATCTTTTGTTACCAGGATTTGAGGATTGTTCATGTTATTCTTAAACTAATGCATCTCTCCAGTCAAAGAAATTACCTCAAATGCGTGTTGCCGTGAACTTGCTTCCTTAACAGCTATTAAGACAGTGGCTAGGGGCCAGGGCAGCGGCCAGTGTGGCCTCTTGGCCTCTTTGCATGGATGGTCACCGTGCACGTTGCCAGCATCATGAACATCTCAACTTCGGAGCATGTCTTTGATCACCCATGAGAAACTGTTATAACAGGTGCAGAGCATTTCAAACAGCACTAAAATTAGAAAACCTGTACCTCTTTGTTAAGTCACATAGCCTTTCTTCAGCTTACTTTTTTTAATTGTACATAAAATAGAGTTGTAGTCGATGGTTGGGCAGACAAAGATTCTTCTGGAAAGTTGCACGGACACAGACTTCTCAGCACAGAGTGGGGACTGCCTGCTACTGTGAAGTCTCTTACGGCTGCGGCAAGAACCGAAACAAATGTGCAAGAACATTCCGCCATTGATCCTGTAGAGAAAACATTGCCACTTAAACCCACTGAATTTTATTTACGAAAATGGTTTCAGTAGATGAAAGACTTATATACAAAATCACATCCTCTGGAACCAGAAAAAATGGTTTTGACTCAAGCGGCCAGGATCACTGTGAAAGGAGTCAGTAGTCAGTAGTTATCTCAAAGACCTGATGGTGAGTCCAGTATCTCCCAATGCGTGTACAGGCGGAGAGGCCATGGACTGGGTAACGCACATGTGAGTTACACGGATTGCGGATTTACAGCTTCACTGAGAGGGGGCATGAGGACATGGAGGCGGCAGCCGCATTTGCAGAGAAGTGATGAAAGTTGCCGCACGACTCCTAGTGTGCAGGACCTCTCCTGGCTGGCATTATACTTATCTGTTATTTTTTTTAAAACTCTGTTTTATGTACAGTTAAAAAAATAAGCTGAAGAAAGGCTAGGTGACTTAACAAAGAGGTACAGGGTTTCTAATTATTAGTGCTGTTGAAATGGCTGGTTTTGAGGTTTCCGGTATTTATGTGACAATTTAACACTTTTTGGAAAGTCCTTGGAAATTTCATATTAAATCTCCTTGAACTAGAACTTCAATGCTTTTCTTGTACTGGAGCTCTACCTGGCTTTAGACCAACCCCAGAACAAAGCAGAGCCACCTCTAAACACACACGATTGCCCCGCTGCCGTGAACTTCAAGAGGGAACTCACTTTCAAAAGAGAAATGATCTAGTTTTAAAAGATATATTAATTTGTATAAAATAACTTTCTATAAACTACCGTTAACAAAAAAGACAGTGTTTTAGAGTTCGCAGGCTGGCACTCAGTCCACTGAGCCATACCAGCCAGGGCCAAGAAGACAGTGTTTTACTCTGGTACTTGAGTGACATTTTTGGAGTGACAGTTATCACTCAAGTAAATATAACTCAAAAATATGATTTTATTGCATTAAAAGAGTGCTGTATTATTTGCCCAAGTTTTGTAACTTAGTGAAGGTATTACGTTCCTTGGATTTGTACTTTATGACTTAGGATACTGTATTGTGAGCTGGTTGTGTTAACTGAAAAAATAAGTCATTACTGGAACTGTGCAGCTCTCTGAACTTAAACGGAAGGGCAGCTGTTCACATCTTTTAGCATTTAGGTAATTTACATTTGCTTAACCTTTAAATTACCATGTGTGAAATTATGTTCCCTAATTGCTAAAGCATGAGATGTTAGGTTATTTGAATGTAATGACTTTTTGAAGTAATTGTGACCACAAAACATCTTTCTTACATGAGGAGGAGCTGTATGTCACTTGAAATTACTCAAGTGATGTCTTTATCTGAGGCGTGAATCCCAGGTACTTAATGTTTTGAATGTGGGGCCACTGTGGGGGTGAGGACGGTGGGAGAGAAGAAAAGTAGGAAAGACATATTTAAGTCTTTTATCCACCTTGAATTTATTTTGGTGTATGGTGTAAGTTGGTGCTCAAGTTTCATTTTTCTGCACATAGCTGTCCAGTTCTCCCAACACCATTTGTTGAAGAGGCTATCTTTACCCCATTTTATGTTACTGCCCCCTTTGTCAAATATTAATTGACTGTAGAGATTTGGGTTTATTTCTGGGCTCTCTGTTTTGTTCCATTGGTCTATGTGCCTGTTTTTATGCCAGTATCAGGCTGTTTTAATTATAGTGGCCTTGTAATACAGTTTGATATCAGGTATTGTGATCCTGTGACACCATTAAAATCCTAGAGGAGAACATTTGCAAGAAAATCTCAGATATTTCATGCAGCAACTTTTTTACTGATCTGTCCCCTAGAATGAGGAACATAAAGAAAAGAATAAACAAAGGGGATCTCATCAAAATTAAAAGTTTTTGCACGGCTAAAGATAACAGTATTAAAATAAAAAGAGAACCAACTGTATGGGAAAACATATTTGCCAATGATACCTCAGGCAAGGGTATAATCTCCAAAATATACAAAGAACTTACATGACTCCACTCCAAGAAGACAAGCAACCCAATTAAAAAGTGGGCAAAGGACTTGAACAGATATTTCTCCAAGGAGGACATACAGAAAGATCCAGGGACATGTGAAAAGATGCTCAGTATCACTAGCTATCAGAGAGATGCAAATTGAAACTACAGTGAGATACCACTTCACATCAGTCAGAATGGCCATCATAAACAAAGCAACAAACAACAAGTGTTGGAGAGGGTGTGGGGCAAGGGGGACCCTAGTTCACTGTTGGTGGGATTGCAGACTGGTACAACCACTGTGGAAAACAGTATGGAATTTTCTCAGAAAACTAAAAATGGACCTGCCTTATGACCCAGCAATTCCACTGCTGGGATTATATCCTAAGAACCCTGAAACACCAATCCAAAAGAACCTATGCACCCCAATGTTCATAGCAGCACAATTTACAATAGTCAAGTGCTGGAAGCAACCTAGGTGCCCGTCAGTAAATGAATGGATCAAAAAATTGTGGTACATTTATACAATGGAATTCTATGCAGCAGAGAGAAAGAAGGAGCTACTACCCTTTGTAACAACATGGATGGAACTGGAAAGCATTATGCTGAGTGAAATAAGCCAAATGTTGAAAGACAAATACTATATGATCTCACCTTTAACAGGAAGCTAGCAACAAAACAAACAAGCAAGCAGAATAAAAACAAAGACACTGAAATAGAGACAAGGGGACAGCGACCAGAGGGGCGAGGGGAGGGAATTTCAGGGGAAAAAATGGGAGGGATTTAGAGGAACAAGTATAAAGGACACAGGGACGAGAACTAAGGGGGGTGGAAATGGGAGGGAGGTGGGGAGCACTGGGGGGGGTGGGCTGGGATGGGAGTAAAAGAAAAACTGTACTTGAACAATAATTAAATTAAAAAATTAAAAAAAAAAGAAAAGTAGGAAAGAAAGCATTGGCCCGAAGGAGCTGCTGCCGCAGGAACTGCTTTGCAGCCTTTGTTTATGGGAAATGCTCGCTTTGGGCATCAACGGCAGCTGCACTCTGAGAAACAATCCAGGAAATGCATTCTGTTTTGTAGCAGTTAATTATCAACCAGTAAAAAAAACCTTTGATACTTTCAGTTGTTGCTTATAGAGTACTTTTGTTAAATGGTGATTAGCTTTTCCCTTTATTTTACAATGCTTAATGTGATAAACTTCTAGTCAAGTTTTCTATAAAAGAAACCAGGTAGTATAAACCACAGAAATAATATACTAAAGTATTTAAAAATTAGCATTTTTTCTACTTGAAATATTATATTGTTTAGCTTAAGATTTCTTAGGGCATTTGTAGAAGCAAATGAACTTCAGTAAGGGTTTTGATTATTTTTTGTAACCAGAGATGGTTTTATAATTGTTTCAGCTAAAAAAAGAAACTAAATACTGATATTTAATAAAAAGCTGCCATATATAATTTCCGTAAATTATACTTGTTCTGAAAAAAGGTGTAATGAATGCACTGGTGATAAAAAGATTTCTTCACACATACAACTATTAAGACAGATCATTGTCTTTTGTTAAATCCACCCAAAGTTTGTCTTCACAATCTAAAATAATTTGCTTTATATTTCTTAGCAACTTTAGAAATAACCTTTATTTTGCCCTCTGAATATAGTTTTTTTTTCCAGAGATTTTATTTGTTTATTTTTAGACAGGAGGAAAGAGAAGGAGAAAGAGAGAGAAACATCAATGTGTGGTTGCCTCTCACACACCCTCTACTGGGGACCTGGCCCACAACCCAGGCATGTGCTCTGACTGAGAATTGAACTGGCAACCCTTTGGTTCACAGGCTGGTGCTCAATCTACTGAGCCACACCAGTCAGGGCTGAATATGGTTTTTATGACCTGATGTGTTAGTCCACCATATTTAAGTATCTTCCTTATGTATACATCAAGGAATTCTTGCCATTTATGATATTTACAAAAAAATGTTTCTTTACATGAGGCTGTTACTAGCTGCATATGAGGGGGGACCCAAAAAAACCACAGAATTTATTAAAAAATTGTGTATTTATTCTTGCATGTTTAAACTTAAATCACCTTCAAAGTATTGGGTTGGCCAAAATGTTCATTCAGTCTCCCTGTAAGATGGCTCTAATAGCGCTTAGTTGTCTTTAACTTCATTCAAAACAATTTTGTTAGATTGTATTGTGACAGCTGTCATGTCAGCGTGTGTTTAAAACAATTGATCAAGAGAAAACTAGCCAACTTCTTAGATTTCTCTGAAGTCACAATGGGACTTGACTCTCCCTGTCTCCAAAAAGCAAAATCAAAATTAGTGAATTTTTGGTGTAGCCATTTTAATATTGAAGATGGAAGAAAATATGCAACATTTTTAGCATATTATACTTTATTATTCCAAGAAAGGTAAAAATACAACTGAAATGCCAAAAAAAGATATGTGCAGTGTATGGAGAAGGTGCTGTGACTGATAGAATGTGTCAAAAGTGGTTTGCGAAGTTTCATGCTGGAGATTTCTCACTGGACAATGCTTGTGGTTGGGTAGACCAGTTGAAGTTGATAATGATCAAACTGAGACATTAATTGAGAACAATGTTATGACACACAGGAGATATATCCTACATGCTCAAAATATCCAAATCAATAAAATTATTTATGTGAATGAAAAATGTCTTTTATTTCACAGAAAAAAAAAACTAAATGGATTTTTTTGCCAATTCAGTACTCTCCTTTTCATGCAATTACATCTATGGTAATGTTTTTTTCCACTGCTCAAAACAGCTTTTGGATTCATCAACTTTGATGCCTTTTAGTGCTTCTGCTGTTTTTGTTTCACTGCTTCCATATTGGCAAAAAGTTTCCTTTGAGAACTGTTTTCATCCAGGGAAACATAAAAAAAGTTGCTGGGCTGAGACCCAGTTAGCAGGGAGGATAGGGTATGGGGGTCATGCCATTTTTGGTCAAAAACTGCTGAAAACTCAGCGTGATATGGGCAGGTGTGCTCATAAATTACCCATCATGAAATGGTCAAACGTGATGAAAGAATCTTCAAAAAAAAATTCACCGAAGCCGGACACAGCCTCTCACAACAACACCAGTTGGTGCACTGATACAGATGGGCTCCCAGAACACTCACCTAGTGGGGAATTCTAGACTAGAAGGAGCCTGTCCTCCAGAAGATAATTCTGGGTTTTTTTTAGGGTCTCCCCTCAAAGTTCAGGAACTTGGCACTTCTAACCATAAGGATTCTGTATTGCCTCAAAATTGAAAATTGGGTCTATCCTTGGGGAGTTTAGACTATTTCAGTTTGAGTCCTGTGAGTTATAGAAGAAAATCGATTAGTTTTCTTTTTAGATTGATTTTTTTCACATAATTGATTGCCATTAATATGCTGTTATACTAAGCTGTTTTCCTCTTTCTTGGCTAAGTCTGGATCCTGCCACCCTATCCCCTTCATTTGTTTTTGTTTTCTCTGTCTTTCACAATATCCTTTTAAATCGTGGAGACAAGTGCTCCATTCAGGAGACACACAGGCCCAACCTGTGCCAAGAACTGAGAGTTAGCTATGACTCTCAGCAGTGTGATCTGTGGAGTCACCAGATCACAAGGCCGGGTGTGTGCAACCCACTCAGGCTGGGGCGTCTGTGGTCTTCGCAGCTGGTAGGTGACCCAGATGGGGCGTGGAGGACCTCCAGCCATGCCCACGTGGGTGAACTGGGTTTCTCAGGCTTTTGGGGACTTGTGAAAAGCGAGCCAGCTTGTGGCTTCCACAGGGCGGTACCCCAGGCCCTTCTGGGAGGGAGGGTCCTTTGGTTCACCTCTCTTTGACCCACTTGTGGGTCCCTCGTCACCTCGGCCTTTTCTCTTTCTGTTGCCTTGCCTCCACGAACCCTCAGATGTGTGCACAACTTGGAGAAGTTCCTGTCCTACTTCGGGGGTGGTTGTGAGGGCTTTCGTTCCCTGCAGGAGAAGCTTCCTGTGGTGGCTCAGAGTGGGCTGCCAGGGCATCTGCTTCCCTTCGGGCCGGCCGCCTGGTTCTGCTTTCTGACCGGCCTTCCTGTTTCTGTCTTACAGGGTGCCACCTGTGGAAATGAGATGGCGAAGTAAGACCCGGCCTTGCTCCTCGAAGCCAGCTTTTGCCTCTCTCCTGAGGTAAACATAGAATAGAAACCGTGGCGTGCAAAAGGCTCAGAATGCGTGTGCAGTCATTTCCCACACGTGCTCCCTTTTTTCATACAACTCGTAGCAGTAGAAAGTGGACACCCTGCATTTAAGGAAGAGCTTGACTATCCTGTCTCTTTTCGTGCTTTTAGTCAGAGCCCTGCGCATATTTTAAGAAAAGGCATTGAAGAGCTCACTCAGACTAGTGTTCTGTTCACCCAGGTGAGATTAGAGAGTCTATTTGTGTTTGATCACAAAAAAGTGAACCGGTGCTTAGGGTTGTGTTCCACCTCCTCGTTTTTCCTCATTATTTTTATGCGTGTTTTGTGCCTTGTTCTCCCTCACCTCTGGCTTACACTTGACATTTAGAAATTTCCCCTGACTTCCGCTGACTTTCAATGGCCTACCTATTCATCTATATGGAATGTAAATAACGGTTGTTCATTATGGTTGTCAGGACTTGCAGAGAACTTGTTCTTCCATTCAAAAGTAGTTTTCCCCTTGTCACCTCGATTTTAACAGGCTAATCAAAATAATTCTAGATAAAAAGGAATAAATCATGGTTTAGTTGGGGCATGCTTAATTGTGTAAAATGGGTATAAGTTATTTATTTTTTTTTACCATTTTATCTATTAAAAATCAAAAGTAAAACTTTCTGTTTTTATTTTTTATTATATGATTGCACCTTTGCATTTGGTTCTTTACATTTTGGTTCTTTACATTTTGGGGGCTACAGGCCCCCTGGAAATGTCAGCCAACTCTCTGGAAACCTGCGGGTCCATGAACGATTTCTGCACATGGTTATGGGTGAGCCACAGCTGCCTGTAGTCTGCCCAAGGGGCTGTGTCCAGTTAGGGCCCCTGAGGGGCTCGAAGGGTGACCTTACACCTTTTCAACCATGCCCTGTAAAAAGAAACATGCTTTACTTTGTAACTTAGTACACACGCGTATTTATAATAAGAAAGAATTTTTACCCTTCTTATTCCAGATGCCCTGTATTCTGTTCTATTTACTTAAAAAAAATATGTTAACTGTGACTCACAAAATTGATTTCATGAACCACCTATGGATTGCAGACTGCATGTTTAAAAGGCTATTCTAGAACTGAGGTTATCTTTGCCTTTCGTGAAAAAGGGTATTTCCTTTCTGAGAAGACCCTAAGGGCTTAAAGTACTTATGTAGCCTTGTTCAGTGGGAGCAGACGGCTACAGTTTACTTGAGGAGTAGATCATGGGAATTGTGTAGGAGGGACGGTAGCACTCAGGAGAAGCTCTGCTGGAAGCCTGCAGCATTCACTGCAGGACTGTGAAGAGGACACCTTTTCTCAGAGTTAAGCCTGGGGTATGGATTTCAGCTTCGTCAGCTATGGGTCAGTGACCCCAGATAATACTGTGTAGCTCCTTCACTTCTCATAGCTTCGGTTTCTTTGTCTAAATTGATTGATAGACTTTACCTACCATCCCAGGCTTTTGTAGGTGTCACAGTAGCAGAAATGCAATGTAATATGATACATTATAATACAGTGTAATATACAGCGTAAGGTATCAGATAAGGCTGATACTTATTGAGCCCCTACTATGTGTGAGACGTGGTGTTAAACTGCTGTTTTATTCAGAAATAAAATATAAGTCATTTAGCACAAGGCTTGACCAGCAATAGACATTAATCATGGGTCATCATCCTCATCTCCCCCTTCACCTCCAAAGAACAGAGTCCTTTACTGTGTTGCTCTGAGGGGGCAAAGTCATCTGTGGTTCACTTCCCCAAGCTGGGAAGATCTTGAGTCTCCTGTCAATCCCATGTCAGGCAACCGGACACTTTATCTTCTCAGATAAGATCCCCAACTTGAGCATCGATCCTGGTATACATGTCAACAACCGAATCTGGGAAACGCCATCATGTCTAAAGCAGGAAGGGCTGGTCTCTCACCTGTTTCCTTAGTCTGAATACTTGTGAGTTTTTAGCTCAGCTCTGAAGATCTTAAACTCTGGGACTTGCCCTAGGCTAGTGACACATGAGTGGCAAAGCCCACTTAAAACCGCAGCCAGGTCCCCCTAGTCTACTGCTGTTGATTTAGCAGGTAGCCGCTGAACCTCAGGGGCACTCTCATCTTCACCCGCCGTTTTCAGACTAAGAAAATGCCAAAGTGATAAGTCTGGAAAGACGGAGCCCTGTGCGGGGTTTGGGCTAAGGATTAGCTTGATTTGCTCTGTGGCGTGCCGTCCTTCAGGTAGGTAACAATAGCATTTTAATATGAGTGTTACCTGCTTCTCTTTAATTAAAACAATATTTTCTATTAGATGATGGTTGCATCAAGAATTAACTTGGAGTGTGAATTCATCCAGTCCTTTATTAAATATATGTTGCCTGCCTACTCTGCTAGGACCTAAAAGTGAGAAAAACCAGAAGCACCCCTACCTTCATCGAACTTTCTTGTCTGAGGGAGGCCCCAAGCAGGGGTCACCTTCAGGCTAGAGCAGGCAAAAAGAAGACAGATGCCCCTGGTTCTTATTCTTGAGCAGATCTTCAGATAATGACATCGGGAGTATAGTTCTAGCTACATCTCATCTTAATGTATTTTTTTATTTTCACAGCTGACTCTTTCATACATATGATGCCTTTACATTTGGAAGTGGCTCAGCATCAATATTTTTATTTTCCCCTATTAGTTCTTTTCTGTCTTCCTGTATATGGCTAACATTTTATCACTTGGTATTTTACAGTTTTGTTTCCCCAAACCCCACCCACTTAGCTGTGATCTAACTTTGGTTCCGCTCCCTGGAATGCGTTTCTATGCTGGTTTGTACTTTCATGCTGTATCCCATTCTATGTAATATTTAAATGCCGATTAAGTGATTTTAAAGAACTTAAAAAATAATTATACATTCCGGTAGTACGACAGTAGGCGTGATATGCTACGGTTATGTTCGGCTGTGACTTGAAGTGCCCAGAGGTGTTAGGGGCACTGGGAAAAGTCATTCTTCATCCCTGTCTTCCAGGTCCCACCAGTTCCATCCTTTCCTTTGTGCTGCTGACTTCAGAAAGCTCGCTTCCTTATACGGCAGCGATAAGTTCGATTTGCCCTATGGGATAAGAACCTCAGGTCAGTCACGTTGTCCTTGCCTGCCCTATGAAGTGGGTTTGATGGGGACCACAGGCTTGTATAATTTTAAGGCCATGTAATCTTTCTGCTTCGTAATGATTCCTAAAGGATTCGATTCAGGAATGGGACGAAGGGAATCGATTTTAACATATAAAGCCCTTCGAGGCATGTAGAATAAAAGCATAAAAAAAGGTAGGTGTTGTGGTGTGGTGAAGACACTGCTTTTCACTTTTGTTTAGTCACCGTGGGGTCACTGAGTTCTGATGCCTTACCTTAATCCAGTTTAGAATCCGTAGGATAAGTCTGTGTGTTAAGTTCCTTCCGATCTCCCATTTCACCTTTTTACTTGCGAGTTTTATTTGTTTCATCAGCAAGTTCTAGCTCCTTGACCAATTAAAAATTTTTAATTGATGGATAATTTCTTTTTGCTAACTTTAGAGAGAAATATTCCATCTACTAATGATGAAACACTTTCCCCCCTGCTTGCATGTGATTGGCCTCACACCTCTTTACCATCTCCATTTCTGAGAGACTTTAAAAGCCCAGAAGGTGATGAGCCTACAGTTTTCTGAGTTAGATTTTTCTTATTTCACTAATCCTATGTGTATGTGTGTGTGAGTGTTTTAAATATATATTGAAGAGTTTGATAATTCAATAAGGTTTAAACTTTCTGCATATGGATTTCTATACTGAGGTCAGTTTCAGAATCATTTGATACTTCTAATTTGGGGGTTACTTTTTTATGATTGCTTTCCCATTAAGCTTCTTATTTCTCTGGGTTTTTCTGGCTCATGTCCTTGGAGTGTTTTCCATTTGACTATGCCCATTAAGTAGTCCTGGCTAAACACAATTGTGTCATGAATCTTCATCACAGAAGAAATGAAATGTGGGCGTACCGGCTGAGAGGGGCCTTGGAGGAAGCGCACTGTGTACCTAAGAGGCCATGGTTTCTTTCATTCACAGCACTCCTTCTGTTTTCTAGCGGGACATTTTCAACTTGCTCTTTCAAAACTGCAGAGCTGTGACCTCTTCGACGAGTTCAACAGGTGAGTTCATTTCCTTGCTTCTGTTTGACTTTTAGTTTCCTCTGAAGTGATTCAAAGCAAGCCCCCGCGGTAAAATGCGGTCACTCAGGAAAATTCCATAGCATTTGTGCATAACTAACACATCTAGTAGTTATTTCTAGGACACTTGACATAAACTACAAAGTTAATTTAGAAGCTGCAAGATTGGCTGGCCAAAAAAGATTGCAGAAGGTCTTGTGATGTGCGATGCTGATGTGAAGTGAGGTCATTTTTAACCCACGTTCATCTTTTCTAAACTGTTGTTACTGAAGAATCAGTTCACACCCCCTGGTCGTCAGCTCGCAGCCTCCCTCTGTGGGCTGTCCCCAATACCTTCCCATATGTCTTTTAAACTGCTCATAAGGATCCTTTCTGTTTTATTTGAATATTGGATTTCCGAAGCAGCTCCCTTCCTTTTATTCAGAATTATATTTGAGGGGAGCAAACAGCTTGCCTAGATACACGTTTTATGACCACAAATACTAATTTAGCTTTTAGAAAATTTTTATGTTGAGTTAACCCTGTCCGAGTTGAATTGCCAGTTGAATTAGCAGATGGACTTACTTTACAGAGGCAAACTTATGTCCAAAGTTTTAGCTGCCATTCAGAATTTGGCCAGGGGTCTAGGGCATGATACGGGTAGTCTGTAGATGTCAGACTTCCATTCAAAAGTGAAATACAGAATATCGCTTCTTGCTCAAGAGAACAGAGGTACTGTTTGGGGGGGAGGGTGGTGCAGAAATCAGCCAGTGGACAGAGGTGTGACAATGAAGACAGAGTTGACACAGAAATAATGCTAGATTTTGTCGGAGTTTATCTCATTTTTCTCTTTGGGGGGCCCAGATTATTGACATGTAGATTATGTTATATATGTTGGCTCATTTCAGTTTGTATTCCTTACAATCTATTTTATTTTGTTTTTTTGCTTTGTGATTTCTTCTTTTTATTTTTATTGAATTTATTGGGGTGACGTTGGTTAATAAAATTACGTAGGTTTCAGGTGTACGATTCTGTAACATATCATCTGTATGTTGTACCGTGTGTTCACCAGCCCAGTCAGGTCTCCCTCCATCACCATTTATCCCCCTTCACCCTCCCCCCTCCCCCTCCCCCTTTCCCTCTGGTTCTCACCAGACTCTTGTCTCTGAGGTTTTTCTTTCTTTTTTCCCTTTGCTTAATCCCTTCAGTTTTTTCACCCAGACCCCCAAACCCTGTACTTGTTATCATTTAAAACAATGCCATTGACCTATCTCAATATCAATTTTTGATTGCATATCAACATCACATACTCTTTTCTAACCTAACGTTTGTAGAGCTCTCATTAGGAGAATACTGTTTTGCGCAGACCGTGGGCATCTGCACTTTATGTCAGTTCTCTCTAATTTTTGCAACTACCCTGCAAAGTATGCTTGGTGATCTTCACTTTTTGGCTGGGGAAACTGAGGCCAGGCACACATACATAGTTTGTTGTAGCTGGTAAATGCCAGAGCCAGGATGTGACCCAGAGAGATTAACCCGGTGCCTGGGTTTCTGACTTAAATATGATAAGCTTATTATACCTTAACTACCTGCAAATATTTGAAAAGATTCTTGGCCCTGTAAATGTGACCCAGTGTCAGGATACTTGGGGCTACGGAAGTGAAATTTTTTTATGCCTTGTTTTTATCTCAGAACCAGACTGCGTTTTATTTAGTTGCTGTCAGAACCACTTCTGGCACAGGTGTTCATCATCTGTGTGCCTGGGCCAGGCCGTTTCCTCTGGTGGCGGACTTGGTCTTTCCTCTCCCCACCCTTCCGTCCTTTGTCACTGACTAAGTGCCCCGTCCTTGCACCATCAGCCCTTGTCAGCTTCTTAGCATCTCCTGCTTAGGGAGGGAGGTGGGTGTGGGTGGTGAAGAGAGGTCAGTACTCACGCTGACTGCACGGGAGTCCTTCAGCCTGAAGTTGTTAAGAGACAGAGATTAGATAAACGCAGTCCAGAGCCTTCAAATGGAGAGTGAGCGGAAACACCCTTTGGGGCCCCGGAGTGAGCCTAGGAGGCACTCGTACACTCAGCCCTGCTGAGCTGCCCGTGTGACGCGCACGCCGGCTCCCCGGGGACTTCAGAAAGCGTAGTTTGAAATTCAGTAATGTTGACTGAGTTCAGAAACATCCAACCTGTAGAGAATTTTTATGAGTTTGTTTGAGCCCAACCGACAATAAATGCTTGGAAGCAAGACCTCAAATGGCCTGGAGAACAGCACTTTTGCAGCTTATTCTATATATTAGAATAAAAGAAGGTCTAGGGAAGGTGCATGAAGCCCACTGGTGACAGATTAAGGAGGTGGGAGAAAGCAAAGCAGGGAAGTCTCTAGGACTGCATAAAAGACAACACAGAGAAACACATACTTTTATATGGGTGGGTGCAGGGCAGTTAACTGTGACATTTATGGCACAGAGAGAGCGTGCAAGGAGCTAGGCAACAACAGGGGCTCTGTGGTCTGCTCTCTGGTGCCGGCGGTTGCACCTTCAGGAGCCAGAAAAGAAAATTACTCTGGCATTTCAAAGGTATGTTATCCTACATGCCCAAGGGCGACAGACAGGGCTCGCTTGAGGTAAGGATTGACCTTTGCTAAGAAAGCTATCAGCCTGGGACGTGACCACCTGCTATGACCCACCCAGTTAGGAATCCGCGATCAGACCATGCCATGGACTAACTTTTGGTCACTGACCTCGTTAGGTCAGCCATGTGCCCCACTGAGCTGGGCAGGTTTATTGCATAGCTCATTCTTCGACCACAGGAAGAAGATACCTGTGACGCTATTACCTTCTCTTTGCCTGTTAACTTTTGCCAGTGCTTCACAGGTGGTAAATTCCAACTACATTTTAAGTAAGTCATTCTGTGTTTGTCTGGCACCCATTGTACAACACAAAGACCAGCTTATGCCCGAGCAATCCGTTGTACATACATATCAGACAGGCAGGTACACCAACCTGCCTTCATGCTGCCCGAGTCAACTCAGACTGTCCCCCAAGTGACCTCCATCTACCACTTCTCCTCTAGACCTGGGGAAAATGCTCTAGAAGACAGAGGTCTGAGAACAGTCTTCCTCAGGCAGAGGATTTGGACCGCCCCCAGGGGGGAGTCCTTCCTGAGCCCTGGGCCGTGCCCTGGGAAGCTGGCCCCACGTGTACGAACAAGCCAGCGTGTTCACTCTCTGTGGTGGGTGTGTAGGTCAGAGAGGAGGGGCCGAGGTGGGCACAGCTGAGACCCATCTTCTCACATCCATTTCTTCGTCAGCCTCTCCCTTCACCAGCATGCGACTCTTTGTCTATCCTCTTTGTCCTTTCCAGAAAGGTTCAAACAGTTTTTTTTGTTGTTGCTTCAAATCTGAATCCTTTATGATCCTACCAGATATAATCCAAGTTTCGTTTAGTTATCTAATCAGCATGCATGACACCCTCATTTATGAGAGATTCCACTGTGAATCGGAACACTCCTAATATTGTACCAGTTGCATTTATAAGATAGAAGTTCTCTACTTTCTCACAGTTGTTATGTAATCGAAGTTGGCCGGTGAACATTCCAGGGCCAGCCCAGCAGCTGTGAGCGTTGGACTCTGTGTTCAGTGCCATGAGGGTGGAAGCTTGAAATTCCCCGTGGAGGGGTAACTGATACCATGGAAATGGGCAAACATAACATATTCTCCCACCTCCCAAAGCGAAGTAGTTGTTAAATATTTGCTAGCAAATAAAGATTATATCCAGTTGACTAGGAATATAATCACAAGGCCACACCTAGCTGTAAATTGGAGATTGTAGCCCTTATTCTATATGGCTGTGCGCTCACCTTTTTTTTTTTTTTTAATAGTTCTATTTTTAATGAACAAAGGAAACATGATTATTGAGGGGAAACTAGGGGTCTTCATCAGCACTCCCCACTGTTTTCCTAGCCCCCCCTGTTTGTGCCGGGATGGCCAGGATTCTGAGCTCCGTGGCTGTGAAACTCTGGAGCAGCCGAGCTCGGTGCTCCAAGCAGCCCTGGTGCCTGTCTTGTTGCACCGGTACGTTGTGTTGCTGGCTGTGGAAACACACTGGTGTCGTCAGTCATTCTGAGGTGGCATCGCTTATGAAGGCCTAATTTGTGCCCTATGTGCAAGGTGATTTTACTAAGTAGCTCTGAGGCAGAGAGGGCCTTTTTCTAAGGTTAATACATGAAAAACTTGGGCCAGAAGTAAAGAGGGAAGGGAACAGGAGTGTGTGTGTGTTTAGCCATAAAACCCTGTGAGACAGGCTTGGAGATTTAACAGTTCCATGCTTGTTCTCTGCCTCCTCCCTTCCCTAATCATTTCATGCTCCCCCCAAAACAACAACAATAAAAACCCATATGTTTTTCCTCAGTTTTCACAGTTTTTGTCATAGTAATAATTATAATAATTTATCTCCCTTCCTATAATCACGTCTATTGGAAAAACATTCGCATTAAAGAAAATTGCCTTTCCCCCCAATTTTGTGGCAGTTCTGTGTTCTCTGTGAAAAGAGACCATGCAGTAGAGGGCATGTGCACTGCCCATGTTATTTTATCTATCTTTTTGGTATGCGTTTGTAACAGAAGGTGCAGTCTTGGGCTTTTTCCTTTACAGCCTTTTAGCGTTCTCTCTGGAGCAGTGGACAGGCAGGCTGGGGCAGGGTAAATGTTGAGGCTGCTGTCTTGTTTCCTAAAGAACCCTAACTACCTAAGCTAGCCTGTCCTCGATGTGTTGTGTGGACTGAGCCAGACTCAAACCCTGAAGTAGTGAGGTCATCGAGGTGGTCAGAGGCAGGAAGGATGGAGATCATTGCGTCCAACCCCCTCATTGTAAAGGCGAGAAAACTGAGGTCAGAAAGGTTACAGGATGTGAGTTAAGAGGCTTCCAGACGCCTCCCTTTCTCCGGTCCCCTCCTTCACATTTCGAAAAGCACAGAAAGGCCAGGAACGATGCCACAGTTGACTGTCTTAAACT